ACTAAACCAAACCTAACCTAACCTAACCAAAGCTTGGATCGTCGACTTGATTTGGCGTCACCAGCTTTTTATTTTCGCCTAATTTCTTTATAAAAAGATACTTTTTCAGATTAAAATTATGTTTTTTCATGTTGTACATTCAGCACCAACATTATAATGAGTAAATATATCATATTTATTCATTACTAACGTATTGCCAGGAAGCTTTGTGAAGCTTGTGTAGCTTGTGGTAATTAGACGGACCGCCCTGTTGAAATGGATTCATATTCAGGATTTTGTGACAGGAATGTGATATTACCAGCAGTTTTGTAGCTAGTCATAGTGAGGTGTAGAATATTGAAAGCTTTGTCTTGCATAACGTGACTGCTGGCATCATCTGATTGTGGCTCCATGCTGTGTTTTGCTACTGTGGATCAGTAGCCAGAACGCACTTCTCGGCCTACTATACAAGGCCCGATCTGCCTAATAGGTCGAGTGACTTTCTTTATTTTCAATAAATTGTTTCCTATTGGTTTATTTTAAATATTATTATTATATTATATTAAGAACATAAATTATTGATTTAGTTATGTTAGTTTAGGTTAGGTTAAAATAGGTTAGGTTAGGTTAGGTAGTTGCCCTAGTGTTTACAGTGCAGAAAAGAACATTCAAGATGGCTGCCGGCAAGAGGAAATACAAAACAGAGCTTGATTTTACGGGATTCAATGAAGAATACATTGATATAACCAGTCTATACAACAAGTTGGTAAAATTAGATACTATAGTGAGCTCTCATGTAGAAATAATTAGTAAATTGAAAGAAAGTAATGATCATTTGAATAGCAAAGTTTTATGTCTTGAGGGTTTAGTGAAAGACTTGCGCAAGGATAAAAATCAATTGGAAACAAATTGCAAAGCCATGGAAGAAGAAAATAAACTCTTAAAAATAGCTTTGGAAGAAGTTAAAGTAAATTTAAACATAAATGACTACAATAGGTTAGGTAAGGAAATTCAACAGGAGAAACAGCTTTTGTCAGCACAGATGGAGGAAGTTACACAGGGAATAGAACAGTGCAAGAAAGATATGCAACTCACCTATGCACAAGTTGCCAAGGAGAAGGAAAGAATTGAAGAAGCAGTACAGGAAGTCAAACACTGCAGCAACCAAGATAAACAAACATTAAGCTGGAAGTGAGAAAAGGAATTGGCATCTAACCCGAAGATGGTGCAAAACACAATTGATCGGAGCAAGTCCCTGAAAATTTTTGGCTGCAAAGAAAAGAAGATAACATCTAGGTCAGAAAGAGCTGTAGAAGAAGCGAAAGTAGTAGATAAAATTGTTGGCCTCGTAGAAGGTCTTACTAACATAGAGAATGTGTGCGACTACACGAGAATAGGCAGATACGTACAATGGAAAGATAAGATCATTATCTTTCGATAAGATTAGAGATAAGAAGGTGCCAAACAGATGGAAGAAGTACTAAGGAATGCTAAAAAATTACAAAGTGATGAGGATGAGAAAGTGTGGTCGTTAAGACAAGATCTTTTAAAAGAAGACAGCGAGAAGCGGAAACTGAACCTCGCCGAGGCAAAACGTTTAAATGAGAGCAGGAATGAAGAAGAAATCAATTCTTTTTTCTACAAAGTGATAGGGGTAGGCAGACCAGTAAAGTCGTACATAAAGGCAAAGAAACAAAATCAATAGAGAAAGGGGAAGTGAAGAATAAGGAGAGGGGGAACAAGTTCCTGAAGACTGCATACACCAACATAGATGGAGTGAGATTGAAGATACTGGAGTTACTTGATGTAATACAGCTGCAGACACGAGACATTGTTGTATTCATGGAGACAAAACTTGAAGATGTTATTTTAAATGAGGTCATATTCCCAAGGGGCTACTCAACTTGGAGACGGGACAGAAAAATCAGGAAAGGCGGTGGCGTTGCTGTGCTGGTGAAAGAACACCTAAAGGTGAACGAAATAATGACTGCCAATCCACAAGAAATTGACATAATAGCACTAGAGATCTGCCATGAGGATGATAAACTAATGATCATAAATGCATATAGTCCACTACAAAACAGCACATGGTCAAAGGAGGAGCTAGATAGTAAACGAGAAGGTCTTATAACAATAATGAGAGAGATTATAGCAAGAGCGGATAACGATAGATCACGACTGTTGATAGTCGGTGACTTCAACTTGAAATCCATAGACTGGGAAGCATATGAAGCTAAAACAGAAGACTTTTGGACCTGTAGATTTGTAGACCTCATCCTGGAAACATTCTTGTATCAACATGTTAAACAAGCTACGAGGATGAGGGAAGGGGACGTTCCCTCCATGCTAGATTTGATATTTACCAGGAAGGAGGAAGAGATATTTGACATTCAGTACCTTCCTCCCTTGGGTAAAAGTGACCATGTCTTTTTAGGAATAAAGTATGCAATGCATTAAAATCTGGAAGAAAATAAGGAGGTTGAAGCAGTTGAATAACCTGACTTCAGGAGAGGACATTATGGCAATCTTAGAATTTTTTTTAGTGAGTATAATTGGACAGACTTGATGCTAGGGCAAGGAAGTGAATGAGATGTATGTCAAGTTTTGTGAAATATATGATAAAGGCACAAAAAAATTTATACCAAAATAGAGATGCAGAATTAGGAAACAGGATTGGTTCAATAGAAATTGCGAGAGTCCCAGAGACCAAAAGACACAAAAATGGAATAAATACAGGAAGAGGCCAAACCCCCAAACATACCAGCGATACAAAGATGCGAGAAAGAACTACACGGCAGTGAGGAGAGAGGCAGAAAGAAATTTTGAAAAAGGGATTGCAGACAAATGCAAAACAGAACCAGGTCTGTTCTATAAATTCATAAACAACAAATTGCAGGTAAAGGATAATATTCAGAGGTTGAAATGGGAAATAGATTCACGGAAAATGAAAGGGAAATGTGTGAAACATTAAACAAAAAGTTCCAAAGTGTGTTTGTACAATATGAAGTCTTTAGGGAACCAGACACAATAAGAATTCCAGAGAACGACATAGAGCACATAGAGGTATCTAGAGACGAAGTGGAAAAAATGCTCAAGGACCTAAGTAAGAACAAAGCAGTTAGTCCAGATGGAGTTTCACCATGGGTTCTGAGAGAATGTGCAGTTGAGCTCAGCATTCCACTTCAATTGATTTTTCAGGCATCCCTGTGTACAGGAGTTGTAGCTGATGTGTGGAAAAAGGCTAACATAGTTCCAATCTACAAAAGTGGAAGGAGGGAAGACCCCCTTAATTATAGACCTGTATCATTGATAAGTGTAATAGACAAAATATTGGAAAAAATAATTAAAACTAAATGGGTAGAACACTTGGAGGAAAACGATATAATATCAGACAGACAGTATGGTTTTCGATCTGGAAGATCCTGTGTAACGAACTTACTCAGTTTTTATGATCAAGCCACAGAGATATTACAGGAAAGAGATGGTTGGGTTGACTGCACCTATCTGGACCTAAATAAGGCTTTCGACAGAGTTCCCCATAATAATTTATAATTATAATAATAATAATAATTTTTATTTAGGCAAAGTGTACACATACATAAAGAGATTTTACAAAGTTTGTTGGCTTTATAGATAAGAGCTAGTACATACAATGCCTAAAGCCACTATTACGCAAAGCGTTTCGGGCAGGATAAGAGGTTGTTCTGTAAACTGGAACATATTGGAAGAGTGACAGGTAAGCTACTAACATAGATGAAAAATTTCCTGACAGAAAAATGAGGGCCGTAATCAGAGGCAAGGTATCGGATTGGAGGAATGTCACGAGTGGAGTACCACAGGGTTCAGTTCTTGTACCGGTAATGTTCATTGTCTACATAAACGATCTACCAGTGGGAATACAGAATGACATGAACATGTTTGCTGATGATGCTAAGATAATAGGGAAGATAAAAAACCTAGATGATTGGCATGCCCTTCAAGAAGACCTGGACAAAATAAGTATATGGCAAATGGAATTTAATGTGAATAAATGCCATGTTATGGAATGTGGAATTGGAGAACATAGACCCCACACAACCTATAAATTATGTGAGAAATCTTTAAAGAATTCTGACAAAGAAAGGGATTTAGGGGTGGTTCTAGATACAAAACTGTCACCTGAGGACCACATTAAGAACATTGTGCGAGGAGCCTATGCTACACTTTCTAACCTCAGAATTGCTTTTAAATATATGGATGGAGAAATACTAAAGAAATTGTTCACGACTTTTATTAGACCAAAGCTGGAATATGTAGCGGTTGTGTGATGCCCATATCTTAAGAAGCACATCAACAAACTGGAAAAGTTGCAACGACATGCCACTAAGTGGCTCCCAGAACTGAAGGACAAGAGCTACGAGGAGAGGTGAGACGCATTAAATATGCAAAAACTAGAAGAAAAAAGAGGCGATATGATCACTACGTTCAAAATAGTAACAGGAATCGATAAAATTGATAGGGAACAATTCCTGAGACCCGGAACTTCAAGAACAAGAGGTCATAGATTTAAACTAACGAAACAAAGCTCCCGGAGAAATATACGAAAATTCACTTTTGTAAACAGAGTGGTAGACGGTTGGAACAAGTTAAGTGAGAAGGTGGTGGAGGCCAAGACCATCAGTAGTTTCAAAGCATTATATGACAATGAGTGTTGGGAAGACGGGACACCACGAGCATAGCTCTCATCCTGTAACTACACTTAGGTAATTATATATTCTCTCAGACCTGACTATCTGCTACACTGAGCCATTTATCAGCTATAGGAAAAGGATTGTCCTTCACTGGTGTTCTTTAACTTATGAGGAAATTGTCACCTTTGTTAAAACGCTACCTGACATTACATGAAATTTGATAGGTTCTGTAATTGTTAAAATGCTATTTGACAGTGCATGAAATTTGATAGAATTTGAAATTATATGAAATTAGACAAATTTTGACATGATATTATATAGATTTTTATCATAAAGTACAAATAACCCTACCTTATCTCCAATTGTTAACTGAAGGCTCTGCAGCATGGGATCTTCAGCAAAATCATTACTATGGTATATCTGGCGGATTTTCTTAATTCTGTCTGCAGGAGGAACTGCTGTTGTTCGTATAAACTGGGCTGTTTCTCGGTCACTCAACTTTTGACCCACTCTCTGTCTAGACAGTTTGCAAATCTGGAAAAACATTATATTCTTCAGAAGTATTACAATCTCACATCTATTTCATATATCAGCATAATCAGCAATAATAAATAATATCCAAATATGCATACAAATAAAAAGCATGCAAAGTTAAAATAAATGAACAAGGAGCATGTAAAATTCAAAAATAAATATTTAGAAGATTTTAACATATACTATAGATTAAATTCTCGGTACAATACCTCAACTGGAAGATACACTCTTCTCTCTGCTGGTGCAACTTGAATGCAGTTAAATTTTGGATATTTTAACTTCCTGCCGTAGTTATTCTTTATATAGCTTTCAACCGAGATTGAATATATCTTTCCCGTGTCATCATCTTTTAAGGGAAATGTCTGCTTATCAGAACCAAGTTCTGACACAGCTATGATCTTATAGGTGCGAGGGATGTTGCTATGAGTCACTTGCACCTGCAAAAAATACATAAAAGTAAAATATTACAATTAACACATTAAAATACAAGTACAATAGTGAGTTTAACCATATTTGCCAAGTGGAACAAGTTTCTAAACATGCTCTAAAAGGTAAAAAAAAAAAAAAAACTGTGTTGAATGTAATGAAACGTCATTTTCTGGGTAAGCCCCAGAGACTCCCCGGAGCTATAGGACTGATATTAGCTATACTGCATTAGTCTGTGGCTTCAGTCATATGGAGTTGTCATACCTACCCGGAACCAAGAGGCAGAACCTGGTTCCCTTAGAGAGACGATGGGAGCAATGGCCTATGGAAACCCCACGTCTTTCCATGCAGACATGAAAAGGTAGGCGCCCCAAAACAGACACGGACTGTAGAAAATTGCAACCAGAAACCGAAACAAGAGCCTAAAAACTCCCCTAAGAAAAACTAGGAAACAAGAAAATCGTCATCAACCTGACGTGCCACTCATTCGCGTTAGCCACAAATGAACCAGGACCGAAAGAGCAGAAACCCCTGCATCTGGGGAGAGCAGGAAGCTTACCAAGCCGATCCCCAGAGGCCAAAGCCAACAAACAAAGCCTACGGAAAGCAAATGCGAACCAAAGGGGCCACCACAAACCCGAGGAAAAGATAGAAAAGACAGCACCTGCTCCAAAGACCAGGACGGCACAGGTGGTGCATGAGCAGGCCAAAGGTGGAAAATGTATGAGAAAGCTAATACAACGGAACAGAAGTGACATCCACCCCAAGCACAAGCTGTAGCAGCTCCGCCAGAGCCGCACAAGAAAAGGCGACAGTAATTGGCATCAGATGCCGGTCCTGAAAAAGCCAAGAAAGAAGGACAAAACTACACAATCAGAAACCGAAGACAACCGGAAAGAGAAAGAGAAAGGGAAAACAGTGAAAAGTTCGCCAAGCAACTGCATACTGTCGCCGCAAAGAAGACCGCAGGTAGGACACCACAAGAGAAGCCACCTGATCACCAACCAAGCAGTGATACACATGCATCAAATACCAGACGCGAAGAGCACAAGAGTAGATCAAACCAGCAAGGAAATATACCAGTCCGACCTGCTAGTAGAGGCAGAGAGGCGGAAAATGCCCCGGGTTCGCACATTGAGCAAGCAGTGCCTCACACCAAGGCTGGGCCGGCCACTAAGGGGCTAGAAAAAAAACGCTTCCCTGACAGGACTCCAGCCGAGCCAGAACCCGGAGCAACAACTGAACTGGGAGAAAGAGGGACAAGAACCCTCGCCTCGACCAGTCCTGCCAAAAAACATCGACCGCACATCCATCTAATTATTGGCACCACCTACACAGGAAAATGCCACGAGCACGCTGATGCAAAGAAGCCCACCACCGGCGGCCTGAACGTCCAGCAGAGCCAACTGAAAGAGACGGTGTCGACCGTCAAGTCCAGGGACAGAGGAAGGAACCAAGACAGGCTGACCACCAGGACAGTGGACACCCAAGATGGGAAGTGCACAGAGAGCTAAACCCCGAGAACACAGCAGAAGAGGCATTCGAAGCGACAAGCCCCAAAGAGCCAAAGACCAAAGAGACCTTCCACGGTAGGGGCAAGGAACCACCTGGGCGCAGTCCGAATGGAGGCGGATCAGAAAGCCTGGAGCTAGCAAAATCTATCACAGTGAAAGCCACACTGCTGCAAAACGTGCACCAAGCTGTGACCCCGACAAAATGACGGAGCCCACTGCCCCTGAGTGGCTAAGGAAGTATTGGGCACAAAACCCCAGCCGAGAGATGAGGAAACCCTGAACACACCAAGCGAGGGTTCTGGAAGGCGCCTAGGCACCAAACTCAGAAAAATCTGAAGAGGAAGCTGGAGACAGATGAACTGACACAAGGCACCCAAAGGACAAACCAGCGATCGCAAGAGCAGCAGAATGGAAGGCCCTAAAGAAACCAAAACAGATGCTGAAGCCAAACCTGATCCAGCGGGTAAACCTGCCCGGCGAAAGCCAACTCCTACACAGCCAATCAAGTCACCCCTGAGCAACCCGGAACACCCTCAAAAACAGCCTAAAGTGGGATGGCAGCCGAAACAATGCTACAGGCCGATCGAGCCACCCCGAGCAACCCAGAACCCCCTCAAAAACAGCCTAAATCGGGATGACAGCCAGAACAATGTCACAGGGGAAAGAGACTCGGACACTCCAAAAACCCCAAACAAGGCCCAGCCAAACCTGAACCCGGGACAGGGATTTTCACCAAATTACCAGAAACCCGAACCCGGCAAGCTGCGAAAGACCCAGAACCCGGCTAAGCAGAGCTGCTGATTGGCAGGGAGTCCACACCAGCCAGCCAGGAAAACACAGGTACGGAGGACCGCAACCAATTAGTGTAAGAGGAACCAACTAAAACAAAACCGGACCCAACACAGAACTAGGTCACACAAAAGGCATGAGCCAAGAACCACCCAACCCCCGCAAGGGGAAGCCGAGAGGATGAAAGCCTCCAAAGGACGAATCCAAGAACTTAAAAGCACAGAAACAAACCGTGTGCCCCCTCCCCCACAAGGAGAAGGGGGGAGCACTAGCTACCATATTTGTCGGCAGAGACAATATAAGAGGAACTTTATTTTACTCTATTTTTAAAGGAACTTTATCTTGACTTTATGAGTAAATTTAAGACTTTACATTGCCACTCAACCACTAGAAGCCAATAATCAGTTCCCTCATCACGTAAGAATGGAATGAGCAGTAAAATATTTATGCAAATAAACTTAAGAAACATATATACCATATTAACACTTAAACTGCGCATGGCATATATATACGCCATGAGTAACATGTCCCACAGTGTGCATGGCATATATGTATACGCCATGAGTAACATGTCCCACAGTGTGCATGGCATATATATATACGCCATGAGTAACATGTCCCACAGTGTGCATGGCATATATATATACGCCATGAGTAACATGTCCCACAGTGTGCATGGCATATATATATACGCCATGAGTAACATGTCCCACAGTGTGCATGGCATATATATATACGCCATGAGTAACATGTCCCACAGTGCGCATGGCATATATATATACGCCATAGGGTGCCAGGCATGATTCAAATGGCCCGCAGCTACACGAGGTTCACATTAGCTTCCTCAGGGCTCTTGTAAACAGACGCCATTTTCTTTTAAATCGTGGGCAATATTCTCAGGTGTGAGAGGCACAGTACTGTTGGAGCAACCAAGGCTGGCGCACGCAGCATGAGCAAACAGCATTGCTGTTCATCTTGTGACCTCAGCATTGCCGAAAAATGTCAAAACAAATATATAACTGCTATTATTAAGCGATGACCCCTGACTGTGATAAAAATGATCAGGATTGTGATAATAGCAGGATTGTTGTGATAATTAGCGCTGTGGGAGGAGTGATGCTGAGGGACGGAGGGAGATAGCATCGTTTCCTGATTGTGTGGCCACAGACAATTGTTATTTTCTGCATTCACCATACCAGCTCAGTGGTTCTCTATGGTGAACACAAATGTAGATACTTATATATAATGTGTGTGTATTAGTGTAATAACAGCAAAAGGATTATGTTGGGAGGAGCCATTTGGGTGACGGAGGTAACGTCGTCTGCATGACTTGTCTAGCTGTGTAGAGGGTGGCCACTATGCTCTTTGGACACCCTACAAGCTTAGGTGTACAGTTATGGTGCATACAACATGTAGATACTTATATATAATGTGTGTATATAGTGTAATAACACTGCAAACAGTATTGTTGGGGGAGAAATTTAGTGCATGTGACCTTGAATGAGTGAGGGAAGCTGCCGCCAGCTGACTGTGTGTAGTGACGCCTCTTAGTGCCTGAACTAACTATATCAGCTTAGTTGTACAGTTGTGGTGAACAAAACATGTAGATACTTATATATAACTTCTGTATATAGTGAATAAAATAAAAAAAACAGGATGGTAGGAGGAGAAAGTGGGAGAGTGAGGCGTTGTTGAGGGAGTGGCAATGAGTGGCTGGCTGTGTGTGGCGGTCACTCCTCGTTGCTTTTCGACTCTCAATACCAACTTGGTGGTTCGTTATGGTGAACAAAGCATGCAGATACTTATATATAAACTGTGTATTGAGTGTAATAGCAGCAAAACTATTTGTTTATTGTTTTATGAACATAATAATTGAATCACTAATATGCACACCATACTTTTGAGAATAGTGATGATTCACCCCATTTATTATATAAATACATCACAATACACACTATTGAATAATATTACTGCAAAAAATATAAAAAAATCAATTGGAGACATTGAAATAATTAGGTAATAATATCTTTGTGGCAACTCCCACCTGTCCGAAACCGAAACGCTTTGCGTAATAGTGGCTTTAGGCATTGTATGTACTAGCTATACCTATAAGTTAAACAATCCTTGTAAATATTTATTGTATGTATGTACCTTACCTAAATAAAATTGTATTGTATTATTGTATTGTATTGTATTGTCAGCTCGGGTGACGCTGACCGCCTCTGACAACAGCTCTGTCAACGCCCACTTTTTGCCAGACTTCCTCAGCCTATTGTGCCCAAAATATGTCCCCTACGATTTTTTTCCTCGTGCTCAGGGAACACAAATTAACATTTTTAGAAGACGAAATAATTTTTTAGAATTTTTTTTCTTGCACACAGAGGTGTAAATCTCCTCAGGACCCCTTAGCAGCTTAAGGGTTAAATAGCACAAAGTATTTGTAGAGGGTCTACAGACTCTATGACTTAATCTTGCTACTTAACAAACACCGCTTATCATAACAGCAAACGATTCTTCGCGGCAGGGGATCGTATTCCAGGGACCATAGGATTAAGGACTTGCCCGAAACGCTACGCGTACTAGTGGCTGTACAAGAATGTAACAACTCTTGTATATATCTCAAAAAAAAAAAAAAAAAAAAAAAAAAAAAAAAACTTGGGCTGTGTTAAATATTGTCTCCCTTGTTGACTATTAACCATATTACGGGCTAGTCATGCCTGTGCCACCTTTTGTGTGGCTTAATCTTTATCAATCAATTAACCATTAACCATATTACGGGCTAGTCATGCCTGTGCCACCTTTTGTGTGGCTTAATCTTTATCAATCAATTAACCATAAACTTGATCTATAAGAACCATTATAGGACACAACTGGAAAAGCCTGAAAAAGCAACTAATAGTACTTCAAATATACATAAACAACAGAGTATAATATACACATTGACAAAACAAAATTGTAAAGAACCTACTCTAAGTGACATGAGCTCCCTTCTAAGTTTGTAGAGCTTCTTGGGCTCTAAAGGATGGCAGAGGTCTCTCTCATTCAGGTCCACTACTCCTTGCACAAACTCCAGAAGAGGTTGATCCTTATAAAATGCTGTGTGAGCAACTGAAATAACAAATATTGATTAAAATAAGATAATTATTAAGTAACAAATGTACTTCTTGAAAATGATTTCTTGGATTAATCTAATATTTTAATAAATAGCCCAGAAATAAAGTAGAGTTATAACATTTTAGCCATATATTATATAATAAACCTAGAGAACAGTTTTTAAACAATAATTACCACTAATATCAATTTTTTTATAATTTATAATGTAACACAGTATATGAAATTGCAATTAAATATTCATATAATGAAAGATCAGTTGTATAAATACCATCAATATTGAGCAACATAGACCCGTCCTTCCAAGAAGCTGGCCTCATGGACCCAAAGAAGCCAATGACCCCTTGCTTAGCCACGCCAATAGGATATGGTGCTCCAAATTCTCCTCCCATGGGGTAGAAATTGCGTCGGCCCACGAGTTCGTACTTCAACGCCCGGTAATGGCGAAACATCACCTCCATCATCTGAACTGAGGCGGCAGGAAGCACTTGGTGTTCACCAGGGGTGTAGTTGAGTGCCTTCATGAGGTCATGAAGGTAACACTGGTGCTTCACTGTTATATACACTGTGAATGTTTGCTTCGCTCCATCTCGTCCTTCCATTTGCACCTGCAATTAAAATTATTTCAACTAATATTATTTTAAGAATTGAATCATGTATGTTACTTTATCAAGAAACAATAGTATTTAATACAAAATGTCCTTGTACTTTAAAAATTGTAACGACTGTTTATCGTCCACAATTTATTGGAAAAAGCGCAATGGATGCAGAGAAAAAAATTAATGCTGAATTATTAACCCTCGGGCGGCACTGCTATTAACCCTTAAATGGTGCAATACATGCATATATGATGTGAGTAACTGTCACGAAATGGCGAACAACGTACATATACAATTGAGGGTGTAGCACACAATTTTAAAGAGCCCGCGAGGGATACGGACAGCTATAGGCTAGCCAACCCCGATTGTAAACAGACGCCACCTTAAAAAAAATCCAACGTAGGCCGACATTGTCTTCAAGCCTCAGTTAGCAGGCACACACCATGGCGAGCGCATCACATCCCAGCAACCGATCCTGCTCAACGCAGTGTGCATCACAAGGTTTGACTGAGGAGGAAATTAATCAGGAATTGCTCAACGAGGGTGATGAACCTGATACTGACGACTCCGACATTGCTCAGGACTACACACAGCCCTCAGATGTTGATACAACAGATGATGAGCGTGAACATGCGGGTGTCACGAGGGCTAGGTCTAGCTCCTTACCCATGCCTCGTCATCCAGAATCAACACAACTTTTTGCCAAACCACACAGTTCATGTGTTGCTTTGCCAGATTATGATGAATTGTGCGACGAGTCTGAGGCATGCGAATCATTTTCTGGTTTTAGTGATTTAGAATCAGAGGAGAGTTTCACCACGTCTGTCGTTAGTGCCAGTGGTGTTGTAGCCAAGCGACATTTTGTGTCAGCAGCATCTGGCCCAGCCAAGCACCACCTCATGGCACCACATGGGGACACATGAACAAAGCCCCTCAATGTCAAGGAATTTTCCCTAATCGTCCCTTCCAGCACCTACTGTTGCTAGATGGGTTTCAACTCCTGGTACACAGACTCATCACCATGGTGCTGCTGTTGCCTCTCGGAAGACTCCAGGGGTATTTGTGTGGAGTGATGGGGAACATTTTATTCCAGAAATTCCCACCTTTGACGATACAGATGTTGAGATTACAGACCTTTTCCCTGATACAGTTGACGATATGTGTGTAATGAACTACTTTACAGCATATTTTGATCAGCCGCTCATGGAACATATTGTTCTCGGGAAATGAATAAATATACGGCTGATCTCATTGGTCAAGAGTTATCAGATTTTTCATGATTACAGCATTGGAAAGATACAACTGTAGGTGAAATGTACGTGCTTTTGGCAGTGTGTATGTTGATGAAACATTGTGTCAGGCATGTAGTAAACCATTATTGGAGCAAAGACCAGACTGTTCCAACACCATTGTTCGGAAAATAAATGTCTCGAGACAGATTTGTGATACTCCTTAGGTGTCTTCATTTTACAAGTAATGAAGACAAGACACAGGATGATAGGCTTTGGAGAGTGAGGCACGTCCTGAATGAATTGTTGGAAAGTTCAGAGATTTCTCTGTACCAGCTCAGAAGCTGGTGATTGATGAATGCCTTGTGCTTTTCAAAGGATGTGCTGCCTTCAAGCAGTATATTCCCTCCAAATGCCACAGATTTGAATTGAAATTCTTTATACTCTGTGACTGTGAAACAGGAATTGTGTTACACATGATAATATATACAGGTACAAATGTAGACATTCCTGCTAATGACAAACATTGTTTCTCAGGTAGTGTGCTGAAATCACTGCTTGTTGCACTATGGCTGAACAAGGACCCCATATTATACACAGATAACTATTATACCAGTCCATTGCTAACCAGGTTCTTGCTTGATACTGGAACTGGAATGTGTGGCACAGTGAAGGCAAAACGAAAGGAAATACCAATGTTTGACACTGCTATGCAGGTTGGTGATTGCGAGCTAAGAAAAACAGGTGCAATGCTTTCGGTGCGGTGGAAAGACAGGTGTGAAGTGAACATGTTGACCACCGTTCATAATGGTACAATGTTGGACAGTGGCAAGGTGAACAGAACAACAAAACAAATAATCTATAAGCCAAATTGTGTGATGGATTATAACATCAACATGCGTTTGGTGGATAAATGTGATACGATGGTAGGGGCAGTCGAGTGTGTATGGAAAACAGTGAAGTGGACCAAGAAGATATTTTTCCAACTAGCTGACGTAACAATGCTGAACAGTTACAATATGTATCTCGTGAAAATAGGTAGTAAACCAAATTTCTGTGCGTTCAGTTTTACTGTGGTGATACAATTACTAGAAATATTTGGCAAACCAATTCCTGGCATACAAAGACCCATTGTGAACCCAGTATTGCACCATGCTCCCACACCCAGGCTCACTTTCAAGGAGGCCTTTCTGACACACAATATAATATAAGGTATTTACCAACAACTGGAAAACGTGCAGTAGTCCAGCATGAGTGTAAGACCACACCAAAGAGGGCACAGAAACGTAAATTGGTGCTAACTTGATGCACAGTATGTGAGGTCCCTTTGTGCTATGTCAAATGTTTTGACGAGTATCACAGTCTCGAGGACTTCTAAATGTCCAATACCCGTGCAAAAACATGTACATGTTGAGTGAGTGAGTGTATATAGTGAAAACAATTCATAATAAATTTTATATTTCCTGAAAAATAAACAAAATTTGTGCACATATATGTGACAGTATATTCATATATTCATTAATCCAAGAGGAAGAAAACCTCAAAAAAAAAAAAAAAAAAAAAGAATCCGAGGAACCATAGGGCACCCGAAAACGAACGCAGGGGGAAGCCCGATCTACCACATTTGCTAGTGGAAAGACGCACCACGGGAACGAAAAGTGTCAACAGACATACATAAAAAGAACATAATATGGAAGGGTAAGTCACAGGTCCCTGATAAAAAAAAAAAAAAAGCCAGAAGGAAGAGCATATGATGGGTAAGCCGGAAGAGCATACAGGGTAAGTGCACAAGTCCCAAAACTGGTACTCAGAAAAACAAAGAAATCTACCCCAGAACCACAGTCAGGAAACACAAGACCGGGAGACAAGGCCATCACCCAATAGCCCCATGGGAACTACAGGGTAGGATGCCACGAACATAAAGAACAAGACAGAATTTCAAGCAGCATCTGTAGCATAACCATAGACGGACCCAAGGAAAGTATGCACAGCAGGAGTGGCATCCTGAGGAATGGACTTAAAGCAAACAATACGTACCAAGGGGAGAAAAGAAAAAACAAGAACCCAAACTTCCAGAGGAAGAGCTAATGGAAAAAGAACTTGCTCAGAGGCAGAGGAGGAAGGAAAGGGAATGCAGGAGGCAAAGCTGAGGTGAAGGCTACAAAGGGAGAACCGCAGGAGCACCAAAAGTGCAAAAATGGGAATCCCAGGAAAAAACACGGGGAAGAGGCGGGCCCAGAGCCAATGCATGACCCCCACAAGCACAAGAGCAGAGCGAGAGAAGCACAAACTCAGCAAAACAACCAACAACACCTCAGCAGGGATCCAAGAACTCAGATCAATCCACATACCTCTATGCCCCTAACAGGGCAGACATAACCCAAACCAGAGATATGTCACAAGTAAGAGCAAAAGCGCAAGACAGAAGCAAAAAAACGCCCCCAAAAAGCTAGTGAAATGCCCAGCTGCCACATGTAAACAAGACATGCAGTGTCGCCCTGGCAGCCGGGCATAAAAACACCCTCAGGAAAGCAAAATGGCTGCCAAAACAAACATCCAAGCCAAAACGAATGTGCCCAATACAAGGATGCTTAATTCATGCCAGAAAATGTGGTAAAACCAAAGCAGAAAGGAAGGAGGGAGAAAACCCCCTCCCCCACCACAAAACCCCAGCCCTGAAGGAACCAAGGCTTAAGCGGGCAAAAAAAAGGCTTAAGGCAAAAAGCCCAAGCGTTCCTTGTGGTTTTCCCCCCCCCAAAGCCCTGGGCAACCATGGGCAGAAGCTTCAGGGTAGAGCCCTCATCCACGTCCACCACCCCTGAAGAAAAGGCGAGTCCAAGAAAAAACTTCAAAGAAAAGAGTCTGCTGGGTCGAGCCAGAAGCCTCGGCGAGATAATCGGGCCCAACAACCTCTATAACTGAATTGGAAGGGACATTCCCTGAAACCACCCGAGCTAAACCCTGTCTCGACCCGGAAAACCTAAGACGTTTGGGAGCCAGCAGCATGGGGAGAAAGAGCAGGGCGAACCATTCCCACTTTGGAAGGAAGCAGAGAGGGACAGACACAACCAAAATTGATGCAATTAACGCCCCCAAATCTTAGTCCCTAACCCTAGCAGGGCAGCTCCAGGGCTTTCAACCAGGCAACCAACCTGACTCGTTGCAACAAAGAATATCTAGCAAGCAACACAGCCACCGCCTGATGCCTAAGATTTTCAGGCAAAGAATTGGTAAACTGGAGCACAAGTGGAGAACAAATCCCGCATGACTCCAGGTTGAATGTGTCAACGACCCAACAGGCAGCATGACAGGCAGCACAGATGGTCGTCACCCTGAGACATGCAAACAAGCAAACAACCGAAACCTAAACAAATCCACAAGGGCCGTGACGAGGATTCGAACCTGCGTCCAGAAGCATCCCAGACACTGCCTTAATCGACCGAGCTACGACAGGGTTAAAAGGTTTGAAACCGAAGTTCTACTGAACTTACTGGATCCCGTAGCCTCTCCGTGGCACAAATCAGGCTTTTACACAACCCCCCCCTGCACCCGAGCTATGTCAATAGGCCGTTCTCCCTCTTCGCCCTTACATCATCACACACAGAGATCACACTAACGTGATGCATCAAATGAACAAATCCACAAGGGCCGTGACGAGGATTCGAACCTGCGTCCAAGAGCATCCCAGACACTGCCTGTCCTCTTAGGCAATCTTTTCCAGAACAGTCCTGTCTCATCACAATTAAACACTTGTTGCGGTAGGTATCCCTCTGCCTCTGC